ATGTATGATTTTACATAATTATTGAACCCAAATCACTGAGCTGAGGCCTTCTCTCAGAGCAGCCTCGCGCGCAGCGACACGCGGCTGCTGCCCGCGAGGACAGATGTTTGAATTACAAAAACATCTGCAGGAAAATCTAACCGAGTCTACGTCCTACTTTTTTTTATTTAAATTAATTAATTTATTTATTTGTATGTTTTTTTTTTAATAAATCACATTAAGAATCCGAGGTTTAGTCTGAAACCGCACCAGATCGTGGTTCGGGTTCAGGTTCTGGTTCGGCTGAGCCGCAGCTGCTGGTTCTGTGAGCAGATTTTAGAAACAGACTTCTGATCCGAACCAGCTTCCGGACAGAGTCCAGATAAGAGTGAACCGGTCCGTTCTGCTCAAAAGGATTTCATTATTTATTTCTGCCCGTTCCGGTTCTGTTTGGACCCAAACCCACTTTGTTTCCAGAACAAACTTATAGTTGATAAAATCATGCTGAATGATTATATTTTCCGCCCGTGTCTGCCTGTTAGCTAAATATACCACTGAAACTTGTGTTTACAACTAATGCAGTCAACCCTGATTCAGCCTCCAACTAAACTTAAAAACACTAAATAACTAAATCACTTTTTACACATGTTCAGCTAAAACTTGACTTGGCTGCTAAGACTGATTTTAACACATAATGTAGCTAAGTGGTAAGAAATCACACATAGCCATTATAATTTATCCATTAACTGCTCAGGTTGACTCATTTTAGTCTGTTAACAATTTATTTAATGCACCACTAAATAAATGTTATTAAAACCTTCAGGAAGCAATGTTGAAGATTCAAGACTGTCCAACACAAAAAGGCATTAACCCAGGTTTTATTGAACTAAAATTTGATAAAACTAAATACCAACACTCTGTTCTCATTATAAAATCATTTTAATCTAAAACTTTGTCAAAAAGGTGGCAAGAAATATGCATTTTATCTTCCTAAAAGGAGGCTTCTTCAGTTTTGTTGTACTACAGACCACTTTAAGATGTTTCCTGCAGCCATCAGCTACAACAATGAGTTACAACAACACCTGATTCTCTATGGGATCAATAAAGTTTTTTAAATTGAATTGAACAGGAAGGTTCACCCATTCATTTAGTTAAAGAACCGTGTTACAGAACCATGTTACAGAACCATGTTACAGAATCATGTTACAGAACCACATTACAGAACCACGTTACAGGACCATGTTACAGAACCGTGTTACAGAACCGTGTTACAGAACCATGTTACAGGACCATGTTACAGAACCGTGTTACAGAACCATGTTACAGAACCATGTTACAGGACCATGTTACAGAACCGTGTTACAGAACCGTGTTACAGAACCATGTTACAGGACCATGTTACAGAACCGTGTTACAGAACCGTGTTACAGAACCGTGTTACAGAACCATGTTACAGAACCATGTTACAGAACCGTGTTACAGGACCGTGTTACAGAACCATGTTACAGAACCATGTTACAGAACCATGTCACAGAACCGTGTTACAGAACCATGTTACAGAAATGTGTTACAGAACCGTGTTGTTACAGAACCATGTTACAGAACCGTGTTACAGAACCGTGTTACAGAACCGTGTTACAGAACCATGTTACAGAACCATGTTACAGAACCGTTACAGGACCGTGTTACAGAACCATGTTACAGGACCATGTTACAGAACCATGTTACAGAACCGTGTTACAGAACCGTGTTACAGGACCGTG